TCACCACCATATCAGATGCTATTGAGAATGTTTGTATGGTGGTGACCAGCGCGTGCTAAGAGGAAGGGTTGACTTTGATCAGCACAGTCAGGTCGTCAGCGAACAGCGATGTGACTGGGATGCGACTGTGAGGAATTCCAGGTATTTCTATCTTCTCTATTTTTGGGTTAGCTCTGATGGCCATGGCAAGTGCCTCCATCACAATAACAAACAACAGTGGGGCAATGGGGTCACCTTGTCTGACGGAACGCTGAAGCGGAAATGGGTTCGATAGGTGGTCGTTCACCATGACATTCGTCGTCGCCGTTTTGTGAAGGGTATCGACCCATCTCCTAAAAACAGGGCCAAAATTCATTTTTTGCATGCACAGATCGAGAAAGACCCAGTCCACATGGTCGTAGGCTTTCTCAAAATCGATAAGAAGGACCGCCGCTTCCTTTTTCCTCTGTCTTGCGTATTTTATCGTCTCGTTCACCAGAAGGATATTGTCTTGTATAATTCTTTCAGGTATGAAGCCGGATTGGTCAGGGTGAGTGAGGTGTGTCATGTGGGGGAGCATGCGATTAGTCAAGGCCTTCGCCACCATGTTGTAGGGGACCGGCAGTAGAGTTATGGGTTTGTAATTTCTGACTTCGTTCTTTGAGCCCTTCTTATAAAGGAGGGTGGCGACCCCTTGGTTAAGGAGGCCTCCAAAAGGAGCCATCAATCTGGACAACATTTACATAATCCAAAAGGTCTGTTTCAAATGTGTCCCAGAAGGCGAGCCAGAATTCTTTCGGGAACGAGTCTAAACCAGGCGTTTTGTCATCATCCATTTGGTGGCGGGCAGTGTAGATCTCGACCGCTCTAGGGGTTGTTCAAGTGCATCCCGGTGCTCCGGCGAGAGAACCAATTCGAGGCTCTGCATAAGTTGTTGCCTCGCATTTGCGACACTGCCGGCTGGTCTCAGAGCTGTCTTGGAAGTGGACAGGTCCTGGTAGTATTTTGCAGCATATTCGGTCACCAGGTATGGGTTGGTGGCTTCCGGGCTATCCTCGCGCAGTGGGTGTTTGAGCGAAACGACGGCGGCTTGTCTTGCTCTCACCTTTGCTTTTTGGAAGAAGGATTTTTCCATGGTCCCATCCGTGTGAGTCCGCTTAATTTTAGCTTGAATCCTCCAAGCCTCCGCTTGGGCTTCCATATGTTATTGCAGGCGGTCCCTTGCCTGTTTCAGCTTGCAATACACGGTGTTATCCAAGGGAGTAGAGGAGAGTTTGTTATCCCATTTTTCGAGGGTTTTGAGGAGGTCCGCAACGACCGTTTTTCGCTCCCTTGCCTTTTTCATGAAGAACTTCTTCACTGTTTCTCTCAGCTGGGCTACTCCACAATTAAACCATTCGACTACCGATGTTGTATCCTGTTTTTTGAATTGTCAGTATTCCCAGTATTTTTTCACATACTGTTGAAAAGCCTGCAGTTTGATCAGTGATGTGTTGAGTTTGAAGAAATTGGGTCCCCTTTCTGAAAGGAGGGCGTGAGACTAGGGCAACGACAGTCATCTTATGGTCAAAGGACCGCGAGGGGCTGAAGGGTAGTATGGCGGCCTCTATCAAGGGGCCCGCCAAGTCTTTGGAAAGAAGTATGAGATCAATTCTTGAATTTGACATGCCGTTACCCCCCCTGGCTCTGATACATGTGAACGCTTGCTTGGTAGGGTGTATGGTTTTATATGAATCTACCAACTAAAGCTCCGCCATAAGTTAGTTGAACATGAGGGTATCGAGACCATGATGCGGCAGTGACTGGGCCGGTCCATCCTGCTGAGATTGATTTCTTCTGTCAATCACAGGGTCCGGTGCCAGGTTGAAGTCGCCAGTTAGGATGAGAGGGAAGTCTGCGGGGAGCACGCGAAGGAGCTGTAGAAAGAAATCTGCTCTTTCTGAAGTTTCTGGCGGCGTGTTGGGAGCGTACGCAGTTGCCAGGAAGATTTCCTCATCATCCCACCGGACCTTGATAAGCAACCATCTCCCATGCTCCTCATCCCTCAACACCTCTACAGGTTTGAGCCTTAATGTAGGCGGGAGCCAGATTGCCACTCCCGCTGAGTGGTAATGCTTAGAATAGGCGTGGTAAGCTTGGTAAGGCCATATTTGTTGCGCCTTGCCCTTGTGCGTCGGGTTATCAAGGAGGTGTGTTTCTTGCACACACACCGCATCAGGCCATTAGGTGGGGTCTAGGCCATACTCGTACTACAATTTTTTTGACTCAGCTGTGGACGTAATTGCAGTCCGATCCATTGCAATCACATGCACGTAGGTCGTGCCGTAATTGTTGTCGGATACGTTTAGCAAAGTGCTAGCGTGAGTATGGTATGCCCTAAGTAACACAACCTCAAGAAGCAAAACCACAAATCTAAGAAGTAAGCGCATACTNATACGTTTAGCAAAGTGCTAGCGTGAGTATGGTATGCCCTAAGTAACACAACCTCAAGAAGCAAAACCACAAATCTAAGAAGTAAGCGCATACTCAGGCCATGCTCACACTAGCACCTTCCATGCTCACACTACCGTCTTCTTCACCCGAATAGAACGCCCGGTTATTGTAGCTGCATTTGGCCCAACTTTCAGTCCAGGTGCAGCAATAATGACCGGGCGTTCTATTCGAGTGAAGACCGTAGCACCTTCCTAAATACATGTGACTGCAATTACAACAAACCTGGATGTACTTGACCGTCATCACATCCAGAGCTCAGTAGAAAAAGACCTCGTGTGAGCATGCCCTCACTCACACTGGCACTTGCTGAACTAAAAACTGCCCCTAATCGCCCACGTGTGGTGAGTATGAAGAGTTCAACACACAACGAAACCAGCTAGCAGCATCTGCCATAGCCCTTGCCTGCCAACGGACAGTCATCATCGCAGCTGCAGGAAAGGTGCAAAGGTACACGCATCCATCATTCAAGTTATGGACACCACTCCACCACTGGCAAGATATGAAATTGCCTGATATGAAATTGCAAGATGTGAAATCACAAGATGTATGTCGCTCAAACTGAGATGAAAGATGGTCAGCAACATCTGACATCTGCCATACCCGTTGCATAGTACCAAGGTCAAGCACTTATGAAAATCCAAACTCCGCAGCCTTGAGCATGGACACCGGCAGGGCGTTAGAATGACACACGGCTGGACACACACCCCCTTGGGATGACGCAGGTAAGTTATTACATACACTGCCTGCGCACCACCCAAGGGGTAGTCCATGGTTGTTGTATGTGGGGACTGGGCGATGGTGGGTATCCTGATGTTGTTGGTCTACGGGGTTGTCATGAAACTGCTGGGTGGCTCGCATAGTCCAGTTTACTCGAGCCCAACAGAGCACAGCTTCAGACTATTTCACAGTGTATGTCAATAGGTTAGGTCACTTGCACGATTCACATAAGGTCCTGCATTCGATACCAAACTGTAACTTAGGGTTGGTCATCCTCTTAGTACGTGGTCAAAGGATTGAGGCTGGCATAGCAGTTCCTTAGTACAGGATGCAGGGAGTGTCAGGAGATAGTGCACTTTACCGCAGGGCCAGAACGGGCTCCAGGGACATACGAGGGAACAGAGGATCCTTGTAGCGGACCCACCAGGTATGGTGCTCCGCTATTGGTAGACATGGAGATGGAGGAAAAAGGGGGAGCAAGATGACGCACAGCGCAGCTCCCACGCAGGACTCCAACGCACGTACTCCAGAAATGTGCAAGTGAAGAATGAGGGTGAAAACAGACAATGGCTGGGGTATACCCCAGCGGACTGACGGGACCGGACTGGACTGGCTGGTACCGACAGAGGTACCGGCCTGGAATGGCCTACCCCGAATACAAGACAGGCCTGTGAGAACAGGCCAAGGGGCTGGTCTCACAGGCCAACCCGAGGTCCGCTACACGATCCTTGGCCTGTGATGGATCGCCTAGATACAAACATGCTTCCGCCAAGAAGCGGAACTCTACCAAAGAAAGAAAACCTGAGTAGTCTAGGATGCGGAGCAAGCTCCATGCTGAGTCCATGCGATGCAACCTAGGATATAAAATGTCACAAAACAGCAATGTCACAGCTAACAGCCTAAGTGAAAGCAGAAGC